GGGGGGGAGAAACGAGCGAAAGAAAACGAAATAAAAAAAAAAAAAGGAAAAAGAAGACAGACAGAGAATTTCGTAAATTCGTAAATCGATTGCCTATTCATCAGGCGCAGTGCGCTCGAGGTTGTTCCCGTCGTACTTGGCTCGTTTGAATCTCCTCTTGTTTCTTTCAATTACGATAAGTCGAACGGATGGAATGTGGCTGCGTTTACGATTACATGCGGCAGTAAAGGTTCAGTTGGCAAGATCTTTCGCTTGTACAAAATTCAGTAGAACTAAGCTACGAGGGAAAGGAAAAATTTTCTCGTTTCTTTGTAATCACGGGATTTAACAATCGCGTCGAGAAGAAAATAACTTGCTGCTGTATGATCATGGCGTTCGTTGAAAACACGAAACGAGCGAAATGAAATCTTAACGTGTTATACCGTAAACTTTTGAACTCAACGCACGACAGTTTTCGACATCAAGCAACGGAAGCTCAATTTTTGTATCATGAGCTTTCATTTCTGATATCGTTTCAACTTGTCGCGTATTTTGATTGATTTCTGCAATCCTTGGCGCGTTGCTCTCTGTAATTGATTGAAAAATTGATTTCTCGCACGATTGCTGTTTATTGTGACGACGTAAGGAATGTAAAAGTGGAACGAAAAAATGCCCGAGAATGCATACGATAAGCATCGACGCTAGGATACACGATTCCGACAGATGTTGAACGACGACGATTCGATACGCGACGGCCGAGAAACGCGCGTTCAAAGTTCACTACGGACAAGAAACGAGACGGCAGTATTTTCATGGCGTTGAAAATTTTATATATATATACATATATAATTATATATACATGTATTCGACACAGTTACACGTTTTCGTTCTACTTTTTAACATTGTGGACAGAAACGTTTCCCAGATGTTTTGGTTGTTGTCGCAAGCTACGCTTGTACGAAGGGCCTCTAAACAGGGAAAACCAAGATAACCGCGAATGGATCTCACGCGATGTCAAAAATGAGCAAATTTCATAGAAATCGAAGGGAACGTTTATAATGCTTAATATAACTATACTGGTACCCTTAAAACGCTGATTACCGCTATTTAATGATTCGCCTATAGATTTATTCGCCTTAACGTACGATTTGCCGGAGAGAAGGATCACGGCCGGCCCGGCTGAGCAGAGAAATAAATTAAAAAGAAAAAGGAAACGACGAAACGCTGTTCAACTGAGAGAAAGAGTGTATTGAATTCACTGTATATGGCGTGCTTTCACTTAAGAAAATCTACAGAACATTCATGTTGAAAGAACGCCGTTTTAAGCATAATTTAACAAATACCTTTTCGCGTTGAACCGTAGTAACACAATTTGAAGAAAAAAAAAAAAAAATAAAAAAAAAACAAAAGCTTGGAAAAAGAAGAACATTGCGTTGTCAATTAGTCAACTCAATATATCTTTCTCCAGTTAGAAGTGGAGAAGCCAGACGAGGAAGTCGGACGTTTCGAGAAACGAACATCGAGCTAGAACAGTACTCGACATTCGTTCGCCCGATATACGCTTCCGCTCATCGACGATGGATCTTCTTTGCAAGCAGAATTTCGCCAATCGATTCGACGATTTGACTGACGGCGATCCGTCCGATCGATCGATCGATCGATCTCGTTTTAATACACCTTCGAATCGTAATTACGTTCCTAACGTTCACGCGTCATCGATCGTCGATTTTAACATGATCGCTAATTACACATTAGATAACACTCACGGATGATAAAAAATAAATAGCGCGCGGGTTCCTTTAGTTACATATTAGATTACGCGGTTACGACATACACCTTTTTTTGTTCTTTAAAAAATAGTAAAAAACAGTGACTAAGTTTTTTTCGCTTTTTCCACGTCGTTCGGAAAATCGCTTTGTATCACTATATATATATTTATATATATATATGTACTTGTTTCGTACAATTCTCATCCACTTTTTCTCTTTCTCTCTCTCTCTCTCTCTCTCTCTCTCT